TATTACTCAGTAAGAGAAAAATTATAATTGAAAGATAAATATTTTACGCTTTACCAAATGACAGCATGCTAGTGCGTGGAGATAATAAATATTCTTTTCTGAGGCAGTCGCAAAACTTTACGTTCAAATAGCTTAATTTTTGGTTTGAAACTGACTGCTAAATATCGTACATTTTGCTGAATGGCAAGCGTTTGTCGCGCTGGAGGTAAAAATGCTTTATTTCGAACAGTGTTGCCTCTTCTCGCTTTCAAATCTCGCTGAATCTGTTAAACAAAAATTCGTTAAATTTGTGCAAAATATGAATTAAATCAAAAGCAAATTCGAAATTCAAAACTCAGGCTTCAAGGAGCATGTTCGGGTGGAGGATTACGTGTATTAAAAATTTGGTGGCTCTTAGATGCCGTCGGTTTTTTTACAGTGCGAAGTACGAACGTATATACAAAATTCTTCATTATTTAATTCTTTTAAATATACCACATCGCAACAGCATATGGTGGCAAGAATTTGAAAACCGTTTAGGACACATAAATCATACGGACAAAAGGGAATTTTGTGACTAACAGCATCTCTAGTGCTCAAAAGTGTACATAGAAATAATTCTTTTAAGAAAATTTGTGTGACTTGTAATTTTTTCAGATTACTAGAAAACCATAAACTTTAAAATAATTTTACCGGTAAACGCAATTTTATATTCACACTTAAAACCAAGTCAAACGTTTTACTTAGCATCTTTTATCTATCAAAGTATTGTTAAATATCTGAAAATTTGGGGTTTTAATACCCTTTTAAAACTTTGACTTTGATTCAACTTGTGGTGCCGGACACACTAACTCAAAAATATAATATAAAACATTCATACATCATATCGACATTCTTATAAACATTCGTATAGTGGTAGTACAATTTAACTTTTACGTTCGCGTTGTGAGTAACCTATGCAAAGGGAAAAACAATAACCTAAATTCAATAAAACTTCATGTTTCTTAAACGCCTCCCGGCTCAAACAAATGGAGGGACATGACAGACCACAGTAACTTATACACTAAATTAAACAAATGAAACATAAAATATATATCAAACACATTTATTAATTTCTAGAATATTATTATATTACTAAATAATGGATAACTGATCAGTAATCCTACCACATATTTTTCTAAGCAAAATAACACATAACACCACACCAAATTACAGCTTACATTAATTAAAATTAACATTATCAAATCCTACTGTATCATAAGTGTAACACTAGTATTTCTTCCATTTCATCTTCTAACTTTAAGTATTTATTATGGTAATTTGTTTAAGAACACTGATAATTTTCACATCGATTAATCAATTTAAGTAATTACTCAGATTTCAACAAACATTAACATGACGACTCTTGCTTAAGATAATTATTAAAGTAAAACAAATAAAAAAAAAACAAATCACACACGGCGTGAAGTCCATACTGCACACTCCCATTACCCGGAAATACCTTCGTATACTGATTAATAAGGCGAATTGACTGCTCTACAGATCGTTCAGCGTCCAAAGTTTACTCGAGCGCCACATTATTCCTGCTGTCCTTTATTCACAAAATCCTCGTTAATGGAGATAGACATTTCTTGCGAATTTTAAAGATGACTTGGTTGAAACACCACTGAAGCTGTCCTTACAATAAATAAATTCCAGAGCACGGAAGGATGAAAAATCGACGCAGCTGATACAGGCAGAATAAACAGCATCGTTCACCTTAGACGGATCCTACACGAGTCTCTTTCATTCTGGAAGCCTCGAAACCCACCAAAAACGTAGAGCCCCTTTAGAACAGAATCTAATTAGGAAGTCAAAGTCGGGAAAAAACAGGAACACGGCATAAAATCACAACGAGAATCTGCATTTCAATTCTTGGAACAAGAGAATCGGAATTCTATGCTGAGCTACGCCAATGCAAATTCTCGCCAGCTAAAAGCCGAGAGAAAATCATATCCCCTGCTCGCTGTATACGCCGCTCGCGAAAGCAAGACCCATAGGGGTCAAGCCCCGCCACTCTTTCTCTTCTTTCTCTTAGCTTGAAAGAATCAGGAATAATGAACTCTAGCCTGGTGCAAGCCCCCAGGAAATCTCGGTTTCTCCGCCTCTGTGAGTTCATAGGCTTTCAAAAATCATAAAATTAAAATCACACCAATGCCGGAATTTTACGTTATCTAAACTGAGAAAATGACACACCCATGACGAATCAAACACCAGAAAATCTGACAATGCAATCCGAAAAACATCTGTACACACAACGTGAGAAAAAAAAAATGGACCCTCCAGCTAACAAGCGAAACTAACGTTTGATGAACGTACTGTGAATCAAATGCTTTTTGCCAAGTGAATGTCTGAGCGAATTTCTGCAATATAGAGTTTGATTTCAGAGCGTTATCAAACCAGTTCAAGAGAACACGAACTGATGCGTTATGGTCCCAAAGCGGCATTTAGAATCATTTGTTAAGTGGCGAAACGTCGGCCGTTTAGAAGCATGTGAATGTTCTCTACGTGCATATCAAAACTCTGGAACTGTTGTAAGGAGGCTTCCTGGAAAAGTTCGTAAATGAATAACAACTACTTCTCAAGATCCATAACTGGCAATATCACCCGTCATAATAAGCAGTCTAAAGCTCGGCAGTTGTGTTGCAGCCTACACCTGCTAATGTCATCAGGACTGGATATTGCGGCCACGAACTAAGTAAAATATCTGTCAATGTTCTTCCTGAAACGCTTCCGCAGTGTCTGTACGAGCAAATGTATGATATTATCCACCACAACCGCAGTGCTAACGAATGCCATTAGTGCCAGAGTTGCAGCAGTAATAAAATAGGTAATTAATTTAATTAATTACGTATTTAAGCAATAACATCTATTAAGTATTCAAGTTATATGATTTTATGTATTCGATGTAAACTATGATACATATTTATTTTATATAAAGAATTATGGTATATATGTATATATAAAAACGTCGAGAAGCGTACTCAAGCACTCATATAATGAATGTATATAGGATAATGTAATCGACTTATCAAATGTGTCTATTGCAATCAAGTATTCAAGTATATAACTTAACGCAAATTCTAAAATAATGAATGTAAACAGTTTTAATAAATTCGAGTGTATTAAGCTTTCAAGTACATAACCAATGTATGCACATAGCTTAATCATGTATCCAGTGTATTAATGTATCTAATTGACAGATCATATTTAATGTAGTATTGTAAGTATTTGATACACATAAGAATTATTATTAGTAGTATTTGATGCATGTAAGAATTACGGCAACGTGCGACCAAGAGAATCGCCAATACATTCTAACAGCTAAAGCTTATATATTCATGCAGCTAACGCAGTCATGTAACATCATCCAGGTCTCCGTTTGTTCATGCGACTTCACAGAGAAGCAAAAATGTATTCCCGAGGCAGGCCTCCTTTGTCTTGGGAGCTGCAGGTTTAAGATAGTGGAGGGCGTGGGATCTGCTTACCTTTGTTAAACACCAGATGTCCTCGGCATCTGCACCTGTTTTCATAGAAAAAGAGAGATTGCTTTAATTGGTGAAAAACAAAATCAGAACAGGAGTGCCCCATTTTCTTCTCGCAGATGCGGGGTTAGTTTAACATCTAATTCTAAACTTGTTTGCAACTGGAAGATGTCAGAAACATGAAATCATCCTTAGAACATTATGAAACGTGACCGTTTTGGTAACGAACGAGTGTTGATAAGGGGAGGAATAGTAATCGATGGACGTCGCCCCTACAGATTTTCAACAGCTCCTCTGTGACCGGTAAGAGATATTAAACCTTATGCAAAACTATGCATCTGATCTTTCATTTATGGACGGTAATAATAGCCCAGTTTGAGCAACCGTTGTTGAAGAAATAATTGAAATTGAAGACACTGAGCGAATAACTTAGCCAGCAAAAGATCCTCACCTTAACCAGAAACAGAGCTTACGCGACTACATTGTAAAAAGCAAGTTGCACAGTATATAGTCATCCTAGAGATATAAATGCGTTGAAGACCGCATTGCTGGAGGAGTAGAACTTAATTCCCCAAAATGTGGTTAAAAACCCCATTGCTATCATGAAACCATGTTGTGATATGTATGGACAAATCAGAAGAAATCACATTCAATATTAAATTCTTTGGCGTTAATTTCTTTCTGAATTATTCTTGGTCTTTCGGGCACTTTTATAACATATTATTACCATTTTTGTTGCGTCATAGTCAGTTTAGTACCATATGCAGTGCTCTTAATTTGTATCCTTTGTATTATACTATAATACTATGTATTTTCTTCACAAAATCATTGAATTATAGTTCGCAGTTTCTAAGAAATTTGAGATTTTATGCACGTAAAAGTAATTTTAGACATGAGCATGTTATAGAAATTCTAGGACCCAGATACAGAGAAACATCCTTAAGGTCTCTTATACGGCTTTGCAGGAATTTCGTCTTCTGCGGAGCTTTTTAATCTAGAGAACGTAATTATCGATAATAGTAAATGGAATTTTTCTAAATTATAATCACTTTTAAGTGGTCGTATTAAGAGGGTAGACTCTGTGAAAGGCTTCATTTTATTTGGCATCACTGATTGTAAAATGTGACTTACCTTTATAGGTAGTAATGCAAATTGTTTAAAGCGCTAGAGCTTTTGCAGATTACGTTAGATTCCACTATTTTATGAATACTGAATATATTTTTTCATCTTCTAATAAAACAAAAGATTATCATTTACTAATTCATATAGATATATATTTGGACACATATAATGCAATTTTTAAATGATGGTTAATTTAATCTATAGCCATTATGAATGCGGTGAATATTAACAATAGCAGATTTGCTTTAAAATTTAGGTAATTAATGTATTATTATACTTACATCATAATAAAACAGTCACATATAAACTTAATTAATAAAATCATAATGGCTTTGCTTATGCAAAGTGGTAGGCAATAATAGTATATCCACTCACCCTATAGCTTCCAAGATTTTCTACGGTGCAAGGCAAGCTGACATCACTACCGGCAAGGACAGTGACATTCGGAATGATGTCAACAAACGTCGGCTGAGGATGAAGTGGCACTGAAGATGTTGACGATGTTGCTAAGTAATAAACTGCGTTCATCAATAGAACATTCTTATGTTTACATCAAAACGCATTCAGATACAAAAATTATACGTATGAATAAAAGTAGTATAGAACAATAAAAAGTTCATTTTCAAATTAGATTGACGCTGGAAATTAATTTAATGCCATTCACGTGTGATTTTATAAGGTGATAAAAAGAAATAAATTGAACAGTTACAGTGCAAAACTGATTTGAATTTTTTCATGCTACATTTATCAAAAATAAGCCTAACGGGACCAAGTAAAACTAATTTTTATATCTTGCATCCATCCTCTTCAGATAGGAGTGATTCAATCGGTTCTGAGTTACATTCTATATTAAATTTAGTTCAGTCAAATGTTGTTAAACTTGAATTATAATACTTATTAAAGCAATTTATTGTTATTTTGTCAGTTATTTAGGCAGCGAAACAGTTTTTAAAATTTGTGAATTTCTTTAGAGTACTCGCTCATATCTATATTTATATTGATGGTTAGATTTCAAAGCTTACTTCGTGATTGGAATGTTCTTTAGAAGTTGCCACATTGAAATGTAATTACCACAACCTTCGATTTGACTAAATGTGTGAGTCAGGAAATTTTTGCGAAAAGTACGCTAATGTAAGGTAATCTTTTAGGAATTAAAAGAGCCACCTTGCATTGTAAAAAAACATTTAAGCAGCAGTCAGGAAACCTCAGTGCTTCTCAGAAGGTTATTTCACAATTAAAACTTCGAAGAATGAAATTTAAACATTGCAATGTAATGAAAATAGCTTGTTAAAACACTAAGAGAATCCACAATTTGTTTCTGTGCAATACTGGGTGATATCTTTGTTGCTAGAGTAAAAACTTTTACTATAGATTGTTGCTTTAGAAAGACATTTCAAGGTCATCTTCATATTCTCTACCTTTGTAATTAAGGTAATGACAGTTGCCAAAAACATTCGAATTTTCCAATTTGCTAAAATTCCCAAAAGCGTCCTGTGCTAAATTATGATCGCTAATGAAAGGGGGTCGAGACAGAGTAAATATTCATTTTTATTTTAATTGAAATTTGCGGCCACAACTCACTTAGCAGTCTAATTTTGCCCGCATCAAAAGATTTACATATTTGGTAGCTTTGCGGAAGAAGGGAAGCAGCAAGCAGCAGTATAGCTGCTGCTGCGTACCCATATTTTTTTGTGTTTTTAATGAAGACTAAGAGAAACGAGAGTAGCATATAGTTCTTACAAAACCAGGACAGACAAAAGTATATTTGAGGAGAACACACTGTGTCACGCAGTATTTAATGAATCTAACGATGTTAAGGATTTCCTTGATTTCTTTCAGATTTATTACTTAAGCAAACTGTCAGACAGAGCTCTGTTCAAGATTGTGTAGGGAAAAAATTATTTGTTGGTTTGAGGCTTTAAAAAATATATGCATGATATTGAGGTAATGACAAGTTCACGTAAATAAGGATCGCACAATAACGTATAAGAAACACCCCTAGTGTTGAGGTTGCATATCGAAGTAAATCAAAATAATTAATAATTATTAATCTGTCCTAAAATTTACTTTGGATCGCGTAGTGTACTCTATAACTATCCTAACAGAACATTCTTACTCCAGCTATCCTCAGAGACTTACATTCAAAGAGGTTTAAAAATCAGTGGCTAGTCGAAAACCTTCCATTTGCTAATAAGTACTATACTACAAAATGTTGCAAGAGAGAAATTCTTTGTATTCGACCCCATTTTAAGGGCGAATGGTGATAGGCATGGTATTTAGATAATGAAAAGTTATCGTTCATTCACACTTACTGTAGGAAGGAATTTCAGAAATTGATAGTCCGCTATTAGGCTTCTGCAGAGTGACAAGTGTGAAACATTAAGTGTGCTTTTCTAGAAAACTAAACCATAGACATTTAGTACTAGTTGGATAAACCAACCATAACACACAAACAAGCACATTTAAAGAATGGCAAAATTCGTCATCATTTCACTTAAAATATAGTATTATAAAATCAAGTAAGATTATATAAAAGAATATAAGTTAATTGCCTTAAATGTGTTAAACTTTACCAACAATATGTTTCTTGAAGAGTAAATGAAATCAGATGGATGCCATTTTTCAGGTTCGTCAGAATATATGCTTCTGCCGAATTTTGCAACATTGACATATTTTTACTTCCTTGCACGAAATAAACGAAGTATTGCAATCTCAAATGTTTAAGTATCAGATATCAAAGGAAATATCCATTTTGACCGTTCTCGAATCCAATTTGATGGTTTTCTGCATGATATCTGTACGTACAGACAGAATAAAGGAGCCGTTTTTTTTTCGAAACGGATTGTGAAATGGATTTCAGAAGGATTCATAAGAGCTTTTTGTGACGTTTGTACTTACATGTATACATATATCTCGCATAACTGAAAATCGAGCAGCCGTAGAGAATTGAAATTTTATATATGGGATAGCTATAACATCTAGCTGTGTACCTCCATTTTTAGATTGCAATTCGCAATACCAAACATATATCCATGTATATACACAATATACCAACCATATATATGTCCAATACCCTTAACTGTCTGAAAAGTCCTTATCCGGACTTTATTTTCACAGTTCTGGTTATATACTTTCAGTTTCAAAAGTGCTTTAAATGACGAATATATTCATGTTTGGCAATGTCAAATTAAAACAAAATCGGTGAGATAGCGATATCTAACTTTTAATGCGGGCTCCAATTCCTATATCTGTATCTGTGAAAGTTTTATACTCGTTATGAAAAAATAAATTTATATGATTTGACTCTCGTATGGCAAAAACTGAACGGGATATTTAATTTCCAAATTTGCAGTTTTTGATTGCATTTTTAATTTACCTCGAGGATAAGTTAATTAAGTTAGAATAATTGGAGCAAATAAGTTTAAATGAAGTTCAGCAAATGATGTGTATAATTTAATAGCTCGTACAAAGAAGTCATGAAGTGTCCAGATGAGACTATTTAAATGCAAATTATTACATATAACTCATAACATTCATACAAACATTAGTCAGATATTCTTCTTTGACAGAGATAGCAAAAGAAAGAAAGCAGAGGAAGATTCCCCCCCTTCTTTAGAAAAGAAGGGGAGAAATAAAAGCCATATTTTTATTAGCTCTTGAATAACATGGCGTTAACTTTATTTTATATATTGCCTCTGGAGAGCGATAACTGATAGAAAAAAAATGAGAAATCATGCTTGCATTTCCTTCTTTCCTGGAAAAAAATAGAAGAAATACGGGCAAAAAACATGAAGGAAAAATATCTTCAAGAAAGAATAGGAGATCAAGCAAAAAAAGGAGAAGTCTTAGTTCTAATTCCACGACTGAGCGAACCGGGATTACCTTTCTGTCTCTGAGTCCACGGCTAGAAATCCACGCTTGAACCTAGCTCTTGTCGGATATGGGCAACGACCAGAACAAAGGAAGGAGAGATCGGAAAGGAGATACTCAGAGGGAAACTATACTAAGTCCAGGAAAAGGAAGCATATTATTGTAAAATTTTTTAAGAAGTAAATGTAACATATGGAATAAAACCTAGGGGATTTTCTTTTTGTTATGTTTAACCTCAGTAAAATAAGGCAGAAATATATTGAAACGTTCAAATATACGTATTACAATACTTCAAGTAGTAAAAGGGGATTATAGCAATAGCCTCTGGTTTGAACAATGATACAAAAATTAGTTTTCCTGCTAGGTTGCATTCCTACATATCTAAGCAATGCCGGAAAAAAGGTTATTATATATATATGACTCGGCTAGTGCATTGAAAGCATTAAAAGCTCTTGCTGTTACACAGAATCCAATACCTGTTGAAGTCCTAAGGCTAAATTTAAATTAAAGGAAAGGTGGGTATCGTATTCCTATCTGCTGGGTTTCCAAACACCTGGAAATAAAAGAAAATGAGCTGGCAGACATCACAGTAAAGTCTACTGTTGTATCTTGTCCACTTGTTCCTTTGAGAGATATCAGCAAGTAGAACAAGTAGAACATTCTAACTAAATAGAAACTAAATGGAATCAAAAACTTAAAATTAAAAATTAAAAATTAATTTAAATTAAAAATGCAATCAAAAACTGCAAATTTGGAAATTAAATATCCCGTTCAGTTTTAACTAAAACTAAATGGAACATTCAATGAAAAATAAACTGAGAAACGTAAAATAGTATAATTAGAAGACAAATTTTGGGAGGCTAATAGAAACCAGAGTGATGGTTCTCTTTTGACTCGTCTCAGAATTGGTCACTCGGTCTACTCATAATTACCTTTTAAAAGCCCAGATTGGTTCCATTTGCTCAAAACGCAATGACCCTCTATTAGTGAGTCACATCTCAGTAGAATATTTATATTATTAGAATCTTTGCTTAAAATATTTTAATAGCTCTGAATTACCTATTGACAGTTTAATGGAAAAGCGGACAGTTTTAATCTATTTCAGTACCTGAGAGAAATTGGTTTATATTATTTAATTTGATTGACTTTAAGGACAACAAACGTTTATTTTAAACAACAAACGTTTATTTTTTCTACGTGTTATGTGTAAGTAGATAGGTTATAAAAGTAGAGCCTATCCGATACTTACCATAAATGAATTGTATTGATATTTTACCTGGTTTTATATTTAAATTTATGTTATTTTGAATGTTGTTTTCGATGTTATGTATGAGTTTTGTTTTGGATTTTATGTTTAAATTTATGTTGTTGTTATGCTGTTTTGAATTTTCGAACTTTCTTGAGAATGATGCGCAGGTTTCCTACCAAAGGAGTACGGTTGCTATAAGTTGAAAACATAACATTTAATGGGTGCTTTCCTTGCGTTTACCAGAACAGATGAACATATCACCTCAGACTATGACAGGTTAGTAAAACTATATGATGATAAACAGATGAATGTACTTGACTGGTACTACATGATCTGAGTATACCTGATAAACAGTTCATTTAGTTAGACAGGTACTTGGAGGCATAG